AAACAAATTGTATCAGAATCAAGATAGCAGTAAAAATTAATGTAAATCGAAAAGTTATAATTGTCAATTCGACAAACAAAGCCGACAATCTGTTGATTACAAATAAAATACGAAAAAGAACAAAAAGCTCAGATAAAATAGATTCAACACATGCTAAACTGCTCAAACATATTGAATTTATCTCGATTAACCTCTCACCTTTAGCTGAGCTGAGACTCAGTTGCATCATGATTGTGTGGCGGGCGCACTCTGCGTATGCGCAATGCTCCGGCAATGCAACTGCAGCAGCAGCAGCAGCAGCTAAATCAGTGCCAGACCCAATTCCAACCCAAAAAAAAGCCCAATTTGAGCTGAGAGACATGTGTGCAGCTGGCGAAATTAATTTGATTAGAAACGTAACGAAACGAGTGGGCCAAAAATCATTTGGCGGCTTTTGGGACAACTTTGAGTTGAGTTGAGCTGAGAGCTGTGAGGTAAAGCAGCTGCCGTTTGCGATTTTCTAGCCTCGCCAAGCTGATGCTGATTATATAGTCACGTTGTTAACTACATCTTCACGGTGCAGAGAGGCGCAACAACAAAAAGAGCTTGCAGCGTGTGCTGCTGCTGGTGCATGCCACCGTGGCGCAATCGAATCAAATCAGCGCCGACATCTTTCACACTTCGTTAAAGGTAACGCGGGCAAAGCCACCGCCAAGGCAATTTATTGTCAAAAGTGAGAAGCGATAAAAAAAAAAAAAAAACTGCAATATGCACATTATGGCTCAAGTCGCGAGGCCGCTGCCAGCGCAGCTTCCACCACTGCCGCTGCCGCTGCTGCTGCTGCTGCTGCTGCTGCTGCTGCTGCTGCATTAGTTGCAATTCGCTTTGGCCCTAACGTGACGAGCCACACCACACAGGCTTGACCCGTCAGCTGAGGCCGGACCCGGACTTGAAGGCAAAGCCCAAACCTATTTTTTGCTTCAGTTTGCTTTTTTTTTCGTTAACTGGTGATTGCTCCGCTTATGAGCCAGGCCAGCGATCAACTTTCTTTCGCTCTTGCATCATGTTGGCCAACGTCTGGGGATACAGTTTGGAGTGCAGCACGTTTTGGCTAAATGCAAAGATTTGTACAAGTGACGCCATCGCGCCCATCACCAGGGCAAACAAGCGGCCACTCGCAAAAGCCAGGCCCATCATCAAGCCTTAGATAGTCGAGCCCAAAAACAGACCAGCTCCAGCTCCAGCTGCAGCTCCAGTTTGGCTTGTTGCCCGTTTCGCAGTTCATAAAAATCAATGCCCTTTTGATTAGCCACAGACATAATTGAGCGTTGAGTGTTTTCTGAGTTGTTTGTGAAAGGCATCCATAGCATCCATAATAGAGAAATTGTCTAATTAAGCTTACGCTCGCAATTGGCCAGGGTCCATATTACGCATACGCCCCATTGCAAATCTAGAGTTTTCTATGCGCGCGGCTCATTACACAATTTGTAGCCAGCATATTTTTTGTTTAGTTTTTACTCTTTTTTTATCACTTAAAATTGCTGGCAATGGCGTAACCAGCCAGTCGAAGAAAAATTAGTTTTTTTTTTGCCATTTTGGCCAACTGAGTTCACAGACCAAAAGTTCAGGTTTTTTTCTTGAAAGTTATTAACATGAAATTATTGTCATAACTCACAGGCTCAACGAGCTCTACGAACGGCTAACCAATAATCAAGGTGCATCTTCTGTCAGGCAGCCCAGAGAGCTCGGGCAGGAGCCTGTCCAGACAACCGGCAGACACTGGGCCAGGAAATACGAGTTTCGGCTGAAGCTTGTTTCCTTGGCTAATTGCAAAATGAAAAATGCTTTGCACTCTTTTCGTTTTCGTTTTCGTTTTTGTTATAGACTCCGTTTTCATTTCTATTGCAATTTTTCCAGAGCTGGCCAATATGAAATAAATGCGCCAAGAGAGACAGCGGCGACAGCGGCGACAGCGACAGCTTACATGTGGCACATGTTTATTCATAATAGCCGACACGCAACTGGACCCGGTTCAAACAGACACAGAGAGAGAGAGAGAGAGAGATACAGATGCAGATACAGATACAGTTTGAGATCCCCAATGGACGTGCTCATAGAGTCAGCCAGTCAGGCATTCAGGCAGTCAGCCTGGCTGTATAGTTAGTCGGTCAGTTGGAGTTGCGGTTGCTGCTGAACGCCCCAGTTCCACACTCGACTCGACGCCCCATCAATGAGAAATGAAAACATTTTATTTGTTTTGTTTGGCATTTTTTTTTCTATTGATTTGTTGCCAGATTTCTTGTTTTCCTTGCGCGCTGTGTGTTTACATAATGAAATGGCTTTGGCCAGTTGGCCGGCCACGTTTTCAATAGCTTTGCCCGGCTATGCGGGTGCTTATCTCACATGGCGACGCTCGTAACCAGGCATATGCCATCTATAAAGGCGGCCAATCAATAGCCAGAGAGAGAGAAAAGGAAGGAGCCAGAGAGAGAGGGGAGGGAGGGAGGGCACTGCAATCGTGTCATGCGATGCTAACCTTATTCAATGTTTATTGTTGTTATCGTTGCCAATGCTGTTATTGCTGTTGTTGTTGTTGTTGTTGTTGTTGTTGTTGCAGTTACTGCTGTTGTTGCTAAGGCCTCGCAATGTCGTGGCGCTACCGTTAGGTTGTAAATGTTGATGTTACGAGCTCTATTAACTCCACTGAGCAAAATTTATGTTAACGATTGCTTTGAAATGCTATTTTATCGCTATGAAAACAACAACTTTACAATACATAGTTTCGACAGAACTAATTTCAAATTATCTAAGAATCTACAAAACATCAAAATTAATGAACTGTGCACTGAAGAAAAAAAAATATCTTACAGAAATCGATGTAATATTCCTTTGAAAACGAATAAGAAATATATGTATATAGATTAATATTCAATTCTCTCTGTCTCTTTCGGTCACTCTTTCTCTCTTTTTCTCCTTCTGTCTCTCTCTATCACTCCTTTTATTCTCTTTCTCTCTCCCTTCTTTCTTTCACTTTCTAGAAATGTCTTCCTCACTCAATTTTTCTGGTCCTATCTCTCTTTCTATCCCTCTTCCTCTCAATCGCTTCCCATCACACCGAAACATCTACCTACATTCAGTTACTTCTTCGTCACATCCAAAATATTCATTACGAACTGTTCGAAAGGCATTTACAAGTTAAACATGAACTAATTAGAAAAGTGAACGCTATAATTTGATTTAAATATATGTACACATATTCATGTTAAGAGTAAATTTCGGACTTGATCGCCTTTGTCATGGTCGTGTTGTAAAAGTTGCTTCTGCTCCAGATCTTTATTTCGATTGCCATCGTAACTTCAATTGAGAGGGAATGCCCTTTCAGTCAACTGCAAATGCAACTCTTGGTTTTTGTATCTCGTGTCCGTTTCCTTGACTCAGCTGAAAGTCAGCACGCTGTTTAATTGCCACGAGGCCATTAAAAAAGTGCTCACTGTACCGCGCCGCATTGGCCAATTAAAGTGCACCTAGGACAAATCCAACAAATCAGATATAAATACAACTGAAATTCGCTTCAATTCCGCTGAAAAGCGAAATCGAAAACGCGAACCAGTTTTGAATGCAAATTTTACATAATGTGCTCCAAATGGGCAGCAGCTTCACATAAATCTACAGACAGGTCAGCAACATAAACAGCAACAACAACACGCGACAGCAATGACAATGACAATTGTATGCAAAAACTGCGGAAAAAGGCCAAAGTAGCCGAAAAATACAGTAAAAACAAAAAACAAAACCTCTAAAACGCGAGACATGCAAAATGAAGTTCATGGAAAATCAATTGCATGAAAGTTGCCCCAGACCAAATGAAGGGGAACTGGAGCTGCACTTTGTCGAGGCTCTGGCCGGGCTCTGACTCTGGCTCTAAGTCGGGCTCTGGCTCGGGCTCTTGACTGGCATTCGAATATGAGTCGTAGGCTGTGCCTGAGCCAGTGCCTCCGCCTGTGCCTGTTCGATTTATGGTATTGAACTTTGCTTTATGTAAATTGAAATTTACAGTTAAGATTTGTAATAGTTTTCCTTTAATTTTTCATAATTTGTTAACTGTTAGAAAACGAAAGGCGAATACATAATAGTTTTTCTTTTACACTTCATAAAGTTTTATGAGTGTGTGTGTTTGGGTTTTTCGTAGAGCAGTGTAGACACTCTTATCACTCTTATCTTGGCAAACACTTTATGGCATGTGTACTTCAAGTTTGTTTAATGATGTCTTGAAATTTGTCCCAATTCCCATTTAACATCAAAAACTATCTTCTTTTACAGATTTTCTCTGAAGATCTCTCGATCATTGTCCCAAAATATGTCCCAATTCACTTCAACACAGATGCCTTGAAAGTTGTCCCAAAACGTGTCCCAATTCTACTTTAGCATTATACACACATAATTATATAAATATTACTTTGACTTTTCATTATACTTAACGAAGGCTAATGCCCAGCGTTGTTGTCTAGTTGGCGAATCAGATCAGCAATAATTCGATTTAGCAATCTAGCCGCCCCCACCTGCACGCCTGCCTTACCTCTGTTCCACAATAATTGCAATTGGTGCACTCTGCATGCATATGTGCACTCATACACACGTCATGCTCATGCTCATACTATATTCATGCACCCTGTTCGACGTCTATGCCATGAGCACCCACCTTATTGTGAGTGCTGCATAAAAGGCAACAAAAGGGCATGATGCCGCAGTTTGTGAAAAGAAACGGGCCAACGGGGGCTTGTAACTGCAAATTAGTTTGAACACCATAAAAAGCTGGCAACAAAACTGCAACAACTACAAAAACAACAACAGCAACTACTATAGCGAAGCTTGCAAAATTTTGTTTGGAAAATGAAAATCTATTGCAAGCAAGAGTTAAGCCAATGGAAAATCGCCTTGTGCAGATTTTTCATGGCTGATTGTAAAAGTGACGCATCATATGGGAAGCTCAATTGTTGTCGAGTTGAGTCAATGGCATTCTAATGCACCAACACACACACACACACACAGTTATAACTCATTTCGTAATATGCAAAACGTGCGGCGACAATCTCCTCTCGTGTGCTTGAAAGTATCTGAAGCTCAGCTTAAGAATCGAATCGAAGTGAATCGATGCAGCATCTCGCAATCGAATCAACGACAGTGAATGCGAATAGAGACATTCATACAACAGCTTCGGCACCTATTTAATAATATTAACCATTGCCATTAAATACAAAACGTAACAGAAACAAAAAATCACTAAAAGTTCATTTTGTTTACATTTTGCTACAAACCACAAATCGAGTTCAAGAGAGTTTGCTTTCCGTTGTGGTTTTTCGTTATTTTATGATCTGTCTTTTTATTTCATTTTATCTCTGCCAAAATTGAGAAGTTTGGCACGTTTAATGTTCGCTTTGTGTTGAATAGGTGGCTAATTTTTGTTTGATGATAAAGGAAGTGCTCGTAATTATTACAAATTGCCCTAAGTGGAGCACAATAAAAGGCAATTCGATCTGCTGAGCTAATGCATTGTTTGGCTATTATGTACATTCATAAGGCAAAATGATGAAGGTGATGATGCTGTAGAGTAGACATTGGGTAAATGATATCTCCAAAGCGCATTAAAGCGTTAAAAATTTTCAATGTTAATGAAAAAGCACTGACAATAGTTAAATAATATTTCAATATGAATTAAAACCAAACACGGATGAGTGATATATTAAAAGAATTTAAAAGGTTTACTTTCATAAAAAGTAAAATTAAATTTTAGTTAACAGTGTATCGAAACGCACTGTCCCTTAACAGGGTTGGCTATGTTAAACAACAGTGAATCAACAGTATTACACTCTTACACTGTTAACTAACATTTTTCACCGTTTACACGAGCATATGCTCCGAAATTCAAGTCCTTACTTCAATAGCGATGGACAGACGGACGGACGGACATTGCACCATTTCACTTCCGTGAATGAGTATAAAAATTACATTAAGGGCATTCCCTAGGGCGTGGTGAAAGGCGCATAAGTCACAATATCTATTGCATTTCTATAATTTTCTTGCAGTCCGAACTCCGGTCTGGTCTGATCGCTCAACAAGCCACATACCACCCATCAAACATTTCACAGGCTGGCTAAGAGAAAAAATGAGGCTTAAATTATTGGGCTGGCATTTAACATGACAGCCACATTAAATTGTCCACTTTGGCAACCTGTGCCGGCACCATATACGAGTCGTACTCGTACGACTACGAGTGCTATATGCGAGCACAAAGCAGTTAATATAGGTATATAGCCAACTAGGCTGCCGGCGTTGCTATAATTGAGGTTTTTTGGCGGCGCTGACATGGCCCGGCTCGGCTCGAGTCTGCCCGGCCCGGCCCGGCCTGGGGGCATTTTCATTGAAGTATCTGGGCGCGCTCTCTTAAGGAAATGCACAGACGCCATGAGCTAAAAAGATTTTAATTGTCACTTTCGTTGCCGGGCGAAATTTCAAAAATTTTAATTCAAATTTAATGCGCTCAAATGAGCTGGCCATTGTGCAAGAGGCCACCGCAGCGCACAAGAGACACCGAGCCGCACCAGAGTGCGAACATAGTTTACTTTTTGTGCACTCGTATCTTTTTAGTTATTTTCATAGAGGTGTTTGGCTCTGTTGATGTTGCAAGTGCTGCAGCTCGTAAGTCAATCACTTTGAATCCCATTTAAAAGCACTCGGCAACAGATTCAATTTACTACTTTATGCAATGGCAGTGCGCCGACTTAGAACCGAGTCTTAATTAGGAATAGTTGGGACCAGTTCCAAAGCCGAGGCGAGCCGAGCCAAGCCAAGCTCGGCCTTGAGCCAGTTAACCAGAAGATGCCGTCGCTTTGGTAATCCATTGGCCATCAAGCGTTGAGTAACGGCTAACATATTATTTGCGGATAATCCGTTTGCCCGAAGAACTAGTCGGACCTCAGCCTCTCTCAGTTTCTACCCCTGTCTCTCACTTGGCGACCGGTTACAATTATGAATGGCTATTACAAGTTATTTAATTCGAGTTCGAATTCAAATGAAA